CGGAGTTTTCATGGCCTTGCTTCTTTCTATAGAAGATTTGTCAAGGATTTCAGTACTATCACAGCTCCTCTCACGGATTTAACCAAACATCAAAAGTTTGAGTGGAATCCAAGTGCACAACAGGCCTTCGAAACTATCAAACTTAAACTAACACATGCACCGGTGTTAGCTTTGCCTAGTTTTGATAAGTTGTTCGAAGTAGAATTTGACGCTTCCGGCGTTGGCATAGGAGCAGTATTATCCCAAGAAGGCCACCCCGTGTCATATTTTAGTGAGAAGTTGAACGACACCCGAAGAAGATATTCAACTTATGACAAAGAGTTTTACGCTCTTGTACGATCTCTTGAGCATTGGAGGCATTATTTGATTAGCAAGGAGTTTATACTCCATTCTGATCATGAAGCGTTGAAGTACATCCAAGGGCAACATAAACTCCGACCCCGTCATGCCAAATGGGTCGAATTTATCCAAACCTTCACTTTCTCCATAAAACACAAGAGCGGAACCCTGAACAAAGGCGCTGACGCCTTATCCCGGCGACATTTATTACTAACGGTACTTAGTACCAAACTTGTTGGCTTTGAAATGTTGCAGGGATTGTACAAAGATGATGAAGATTTCAAGGAGGCATACCATAAGTGCCTCACACGACCCTCTGGTAACTTCCTCATTAAAGACGGTTTTCTGTTTCGTGGCAACCAACTATGTATCCCTAAATGTAGTTTGCGCGAAACAATAATCGAGGAAGTTCATGGCGGTTCATTGGCTGGTCACTTTGGGATGGATAAAACTTATATGATGCTTCAAGAGCATTATTACTGGCCAAAAATGGAAAGAGACACTGAGCATTTTATTCGACGCTGTACTACTTGTCAACTCGCCAAAAGCCACTCCAAAGCCACACAAGGAATGCATATGCCGCTGCCTGTCCCACAAGCTCCCTGGGAAGACGTGAGTCTAGATTTCATCACCGGTTTGCCACGAACGCAGCGAGGAAAGGATTCAATCATGGTGGTGGTTGATCGATTTTCAAAGATGGCACACTTTGTTCCGTGCCTAACAACTCATGATGCTTCACAAATTGCAAATTTATACTTTAGGGATATTGTCAAACTTCATGGCATTCCCCGAAGTATGGTTTCCGATCGAGACAACAAATTCTTAAGTCATTTTTGGATGACTTTGTGGAGAAAGATGGGTACTAAACTCAAGTTTAGTACATCAAGCCACCCGCAAACCGATGTCCAGACGGAAGTAACAAACCGAACACTTGGTACCATCCTTCGTGCCATCATCAAGAAGAACATCAAACAGTGGGAAGAATTGCTTCCTCATGCCGAATTTGCTTACAACCGCAGCCCAAGCAAAAAAACAGGCGTTTCACCATTTGTTACTGTTTATGGTGTTAATCCCCTTACCCCACTTGATCTTAATCCAATTTTAACAGATACAAAGTACAGTTGGGAAGCGGAGAAACGAGCACAGGAGATACAAGATATTCACAACAAGGTCCGCACAAAAATTGAGAAAATGAATGAGCGTGTCAGTGAAAAGATCAACAAGCGACGCAAGAAGATAGATTTCCATCCCGGAGATCTTGTGTGGATCCACCTTAGAAAAGAGCGTTTTCCCTCAAAACGCAAGTCCAAGTTACTGCCCCGAGGAGATGGTCCGTTCGAAGTTTTAGCTAAGGTCAACGACAACGCATACAAGATAGACCTGCCTGGAGACTATGGAGTTTCAGCCACGTTCAATGTCACGGATCTCAGCCCATACTTTGAACCCGAAGATATTCCGAGTTTGAGGTCAAACTCTTCTGAAGAAGGGGAGGATGATGTACCCCGGGATGCTCCTACAAATACGAAGGTTACGCTACAAACCATAAAACAAATCAAAGGGCTAATATCTAAGTGTTATGATCCTTTTTGGGCTGAACTCATTAACCTTTCGTACCCTAAAACCCAAACCATAACCCTGCTCCTCCAAAGCTTTTCTTGATATCAAGCCTTTCCATATCCTTCCCAAATATCCAAAGTCTTTTATTTTCATTTGATGAACAAAATAAAGTCCTTGCTTCCTTTTTTTAGCCCTGAACAAAAATGAGGACAGAAGGACAAGCCTTGTGTATTATTTCTACTTCTTTTGTTCCTTTAATTAAAAATAAAACCTCCCTTTCACTTTCCTACTTCAAAGCCATGAATTTCCCAACTCTTTTACCCAAAAATCAGGCCACATTATGTTCCACAAAACAAAAACAAAATCAGGAAAAGTTTTCATTGATTGAATAGTGTTGATTTTGTCCTGTTGTTCAAAACCCAATCCTCTTCATATCCTTCAGCATATGACCGAATTTCCCACTCCAAATATCCATAATCACAACTCCATTTACCCAAGATAAAGATTAAAAAAATCAAGGAACCAAAGCCATTGATTGAATAGTACAAACTTTGTCATATTATCCTTAATTGTCAAAGTTACAACATTCCTTGATTTCCTTCTCACATGGCAGGAATTAATGAATCATATTAAGCCAAAAAAATCCCAGCCTTTTAACCTCCTTTTCCTGATCAATGAGTGCTGCCCACTAAGAATAATAACACATGGATATTAATCAAATGATTTGTAGGAAAGTGAAGTGTAATTTCCCTTATTTTGCATTATATATTTCGGCCATGAGGCCTTGTAAACACCATCTCATTCTTATTATTAATATTACTCTTGAAGTATTCCCTGAATTGGTGTGAAGCTAGTTCAATCCATTTCCTAATGAAATATCTCTAAAGTTGGCCACTTTTGAGTGTGTGTTAGGAGTCTATTTAATACCTTAATAGTGATTATTATTGTATAAAATAGATAACAGCCCCAA